TGTGATCTGAGAAGATGCTCTGTAGTATTTCAAAGTTTTTTAAATTTATTAAGGCTTGCTTTATGGCCTAACACATAGTCTATCATGGAGAATGTTCCATGTGCATTCGAAAAGAATATATATTGTGCTGTTGTTGGGAGAAGTGTTCTGTAGATGTCTAGAAAGTCAAGTTGGTGGATTGTATTGTTTAGTTCTTCTGAATCTTTGTTGAGTTTCTTTCCAGTTCTTTCATGTGCCCAGGATTTTTGTTTTGTTTTGACTGGATGTATCTGAGTCAGCAGGTACTGTGCTTCTCTATTCACTAGTTGGCAGCACTTATGTACTCACCATCTGTCTTCTGGTGGGTGCGATAGAGAATGAGAGTGGGTGCACATAGCTCTGTTAGCTTTTTGTGAAGAGAAGTTAGGAGTGAGTCAGGCTTGTATTGGCTGTTGTGTATCATTGGCCCATTGGTGCAGAATCAAGTGGTGGCCCTCACTCAGTTGGTGGGTCTACAGGAGGTGCAGGTATAGTTAGGCATGGTAGCTGTCTCCCACTCAGTTAGACAAAACAACAATAAAAAAACATCAAAAAAGGAAAAACAAGAGGACAAAAAACACACTGCATCAACATACAGGAACAAGGACCAAAAAAAGAAAGAAAGGGGAAAAAATAGGGAAAGGCAATAAATGAGAAGAAATATTTAAAGAATAACTTTTAAAATACTAAAGAAGTATAATTAGGAAAAAAACAGTATCTGGGGACTGGGGAATAAGAGAAAAGAGCTCAAGTAAAAGAATAGTAAAGAAAAAAAATGTGAAAATGCAAAAAGAAAAACAAGGGGTGGGAAGAACCACAAGAAAGAAAAAAGATGTGAACTAGGAAAACAGAAGAGAAAACCCCCCCAAAAGAGTAGAACCTGGGAAGGGAAAAAGAATAAAAATAAAAAGGGAGAAAAAAAGAGAATATTTAAAAACAAACAAAAAACAAATGGGGGTGGTATACATGGCAGGGCACCCAGGCTCTGTCAGAGCACACATACTGCGATGGAACTCCTGCTGGCCCAGAAGGTGGGTGGAGGTGAGGGATGGCCGCACCTCCATTCACCAAGAAGGTATGGAGTATGAGAGTAACAAGGGGAACATTGCACTTCTCCAGTTGTCAGCCTCTGGTATGTCTGCACTGTCCTCAGCAAACGGAGCCTATTTTTAGGTCCCTGGAATCTGAATGAGATTACTGTCATTGTAAATATCCAAAATGGCTACCACTTGTAAACATTTAAAATGGCTGTGCCCTCCAGATAGTCTAAAGTCCACAGCTCAGTTTGTCTCCTTTGCTGTTTCCCTTTTTAGTCATCAGCCACCAGTGCAGTCATCCATGCAGCCCTTGGTGAGCTGGGCTGATTTTTAGGTTAATTCTCAGGTCCTAATACCACTTGGAAATATTCAAACTGTCCATGCCATGAGGATACCTGACAGTCCGCAGCTCACAGAGCAAATTTGTTTTACATTCAACAGTTCATGTACATTTGATTTCACGCTCCAACTACCATTCTCGACCATAACAAGTTCTCTTCCCCTCCCGTCCCTGTGACTAACCTCTCCCTTTGCCCTTCTTGACTATGCACTCTTGTCTGTCCAGCTTTCTCTCTACACAAAAGCTACCCCTCTGGTGTCTCATGGCTGATTGCTCTAGGGGGTATATCTCCCTAGAGTAGGTAAGTGCATTGCCCTGGGGTAGGTGTTCTGCATGTAGTTCTTTCTACTGTTGGGCTGAAAGCCAATCCATGGGAGTGAGTCCAATTCTAGGCTAAGGGCCATATTCTTAGGGGTTCCACCAGACTCTATCAGATCAGTATTTCTGGTCATTTTTGTGTTTTTGAATTTTCTTCCACATTTTTCCTCCCACTCTATCCAGGATCTCCACTTTTGTAAACATTCAAAATGGCTGTGCCCTTCAGATAGTCTAAAGTCCATAGCTCAGTTTGTCTCCTTTGCTGTTTCCCTTTTTAGTCATCAGCCACGAGTGCAGTCATCCATGCAGCCCTTGGTGAGCTGGGCTGATCCCTTTCTGAGTGTTTGGCATTGGTAGTCGGGCACCATCTAGTTCTGGTCTCAGGGTCATGAAGGCTGAGGTCTTCATGGTCCATCTAATTGGACTAATTGTTTCCAGATGGCTTTGATTTTCTTCACTCTTCTTTGCTTCAGATGAGAGGAGACCAATAGCTGCATCTTAGATGGCCACTTGAAAGCTTTTAAGACCCCAGTCGCTACTCCCAAAGTAGGTTGTGGAACGAGATTTTTCTGTACTATGTTTTGCCAGTTGATCATTATGGCCCCCAAGACTATGGTCCCAAATCGGTAGGCCCAGTGATTCTCTCTTTCAAGGTGTTTGTCTCTGAGAGGTTATTCCAACTCTGTCTTCTGTTGCTTCTGTAATGTGTATGGCTAATTTTGTAGCACAAGTGCATATGTAAGATTATCTTCAGCCAAATTTATCCTTGGTCTCTACTAGTTTGTATTTAATCCACTTTTGTATCCTTTCTTTCAAAGCTCAGGGCTCCAGGATTGTCTTTTGTATCTGTGTCAATTGGTTTCTCTTTTCTTTGTTTAAGAGGGTCTGTGTAGCTTTTCTGCCTATTCTTCCATCTTACTGGAAGTCCAAGATTGCAAACTTCTTGGGACTAGGTATCATGCCTTCAACAGTTTGCTATCACACACTGGACTCATTCCTTGCAAATATATGCTGCTCAATAAATATCAATTGATTAACAGGGAATTGTTTTAGGCCATACAGAAAGCACACAAATACAAATATTCAAGAGTTAGGTTTTCTCTCAATCCTTTCTAGTGGTATAAAATCACTGAGAGATGATCACATATATCTCTCCTTTCTAATCTTTAAAATGGGTCATGATAGGTTATAATTTGAGAATGGAATTATATGGTCAGTATGCAAGTTGTTGCTTACATATATATAAAACTAAAAGATACAGCAAACAAACTATTTAACTTAGATTCAAAATACAAGTTTGCATCGTCATTTGACTGGTTCAGATAAAAACATTCTTGGGGTATGAATTATTTAGATAATTGATTAAATTATCCATTTAACTGTATAACTACCATAAGAGAAGTTCTTTCTTCACTCATTCTTAGAAGAAGACATAAGAGGAATGTGTACTAAGAGTGGTAGGAGAGGTGAACATATGTGTAAGTGAAGGACTCAAAAAGATCAGGTTTTATTTATTTATTTATTTATTTGGTAATTTGGGGTTGGATTAACTGGAGTGTCTCAAAGGGCCATTCTAGATTTGATGTTCTAGGACACTATGATAGCATGTCAAATGTTTACAGGTATCAGAAAAGAAGCATAGCCTCCTTACTTCCTCCAAATTGATTTATCCTATGTGTGATTTGGTTTGAGTTGGGACATTTTTATTTATTTATTTATTTCTGGCCTAGAACAGACTGAATCTGGAGTTAGTACTCTGTGTAATCTAATGTTGCACCTTTTGTTTAACTGGCTTATGTGTTCAAAGTCACAAAGTGAATACTGTTCTTGGATGTTACAGATCTTGATACATGTCCTTGAGGAACAGTCCCAGTCGTAAAGCCATATGTGTAATCCTGGGCATGTGTTACTCTATCAATACATCTTTTTCTCTAAATTGGTTTGTGTTCTTGTGTGGTGGAAAGTCAGACAATCCAGAGTTCAAGTCTTGGCTCTGCTCCTCGATAGTTGTGTGGTCTTGGGCTAATTACCTCTTTGAGCTTCAATTTCCACATCTGTAAAGGGAATAATAGCCTCTACCCTATAGGGTTGTTGGAAGAATTAAATGAGATAATGTGTGTGCAGCGTTTGGTCCATAATAGGTAGTAATTATCATCATATATACTAATCCCTGAGAGCCCTGAAAAGGAAAAATGGTTGCAGAGGCACTCACCACTGGATGGTACTCACCCAGGCAAGCAGGTGCTTGCCAATTGGCATCACAAGCAAGTGGACTTTGACCAGTAAAGCACTGCAGTAGCAAATGCCATAGAAATAATTGCATAGTTATGTAGAGAATTACCTCCAGCCAAGAGCACCTGCATACAACATCCAGGGGCACAAGTAAAGTTTAGAACAAAACAGCAACACCAGAGGTTCACATTGTTGTTTTTGTTGTTTTCCTTGCAAAATAAAACTCCAGGAAGAACAAAAGTGATCTTTAGATTAAATTGACAACTTCTCAGAAGGAAGGCTATGTATCAATCAATCATGTATTAGATGCATGCCTATACTTATGTGCCTGTGGTCTAAAATCAAATGGTTATAGCCTTTCTCTAACTAGACATCTCTTACTGTCACATGCATGAAAAATCTCAATACAATGACTGTCTTTGTAATTGTCCTATTTTATTTTCACCTGCAAAAGCTCCTTGGCAGATCCTCGTCTATCCACATCCATCTCAAGACAGCGATTTAAAAAGTCACGGAATACAGCTGACAGTCTCTCAGGATTCTGGAGCTCTGGGGTTCCATTAGTGGCTATCAGATATAATGCCTATAGAAAAAAAGCAGAAAAATCTATTCAGTACATACATATTAGGTACGTGGGCTGGCACAGAAGGAACAAATTCAGTTTCTTCTGGTTTATTCTCTGCATCTCAAAAATTCCATTTTAGAAAGTGACAGTGACATATATTTCAAAGTTCTTATAATATTTAGAAATTATTGCTTTTGGCAGTGCCTGATAATGAAATACTCCACCCTCAAAAAATTTGGAAGTAACTATTATAAGGTCATCTTCTGAGAGTTAAGCCAATAAAAATTCATATATAATGAATTCGTGATTAACCACCTACGAGATTAAATCAATGGATTGCCTGTAAATCTGTGACTCTAAAGAGCTTGAGAACATCCATACATCCAGTCATGGTGACCTGAGAATAACCTCCCAAAGGCTTAATAGAAAGTGATTGCAATTTGCTAAGTGGTTACTGAATCTACTTTGTATCTTGTTTGGAGAATAATTGTGAACAGACAAGGGATGAACAGATTAGGTTACAGCAATAGAGAAGTGGAAAGAAGCAGACGATGTCAGTGCCCACTGAGAGGCAACCTGTGGGGCTCAAACACTCAAATGCATTTGTCTCTGTAGCAGATGTATTGATATTGTTGATTATTATTAGATTTCCCATGTAGATCTATCTGTAATAACAAGAGAACTGTTGACATTTATAGTCCTGGTAGATGATAATTTCATATATATATGGAGCTGTGGTGGTGTAGTGGTTAAGGCATTTGGCTGCTAACCAAAAGGTCAGTGGTTTGAACCCCAATAGCTGCTCCATGGGAGAAAGATGAGGCAGTCTGCTTCTGTAAAGATTTACAGCCTTGGAAAGCCAATGAGGATTGCTACAAGTCAGAATTGGCTCAATGGCAGTGAGTTTGTTTTTTTGTATATATATACACATATGTATATATATGTGTATATATATATGAAATATATATTCAAAATATCATTGTTGTGTAAGGTCAACATTGATTCTGTCATTCTGTCAGCATACCACTGAGACATTAATTCATGGTGTGCCGACAGAATGACAGAATCAGTCCTTTGACTTCAAGGCAGAATGTCATCAGCTTTAGAACCATGATTAATTCACAAAGGTAAACCCATCTTTTGAAGGTTCTCGACAGCCAAAAAGCTGCCCACTCCTGATGCTTCCCCGTTAACAAACACTTCTAGAACATTTAATATGTTGTTGTTGTTGTTATTTGTCATCAAGTTGGACCCAACTCGTAGCAACCCCTCCTTGGGTTTCTGAGGCAGTATCACTACAGAAGTAGATTGCCCAACCTTCCTTTCGAGGAGTGGCTGGTGGGTTTGAACCACCAGCCTTCTGGTTAGTAGTCAAGTGTCTTAGGCACTACGCTGTTGTTGGTGTTATATGCCGTCGAGTCGGACCAGACTCATAGTGACCCCTCCTTGGGTTTCTGAGGCAGTATCTCTATGGAAGTAGATTGCCCAATCTTCCTTCCGAGGAGTGGCTGGTGGGTTTGAACCACCAGCCTTCTGGTTAACAGTGAAATGCCTTAGGCACTATGCTACCAAACCAGAAAAACCAAACTCACTGTCATTGAGACAGATCCAACTCATAGTGACCCCTCCTTGGGTTTCTGAGGCAGTATCTCTATGGAAGTAGATTGCCCAATCTTCCTTCCGAGGAGTGGCTGGTGGGTTTGAACCACCAGCCTTCTGGTTAACAGTGAAATGCCTTAGGCACTATGCCACCAGAGCTCCTTAGTACATACCAGGTAATGTATTAAGCACCGGGGATACAAAGATGAATAAGACAGTGTTCTCTCTTTCAAAGAGTACACAATTTTGTGTGTGTGTGTGTGTGTGTGAGAGAGAGAGAGAGAGAGAACGCCATAGTTACAATACAGTGAGATAATGGCTAATAGAGAAAGATAGAAAGTGCTAAGGAAATACAAAGATCGCAATTTACACCAGGGCTCAGAGAAATCTTGACAGAGAAGGATGGTATATGAGCAGGGTCTTGGAAGATAAAGTAGGAGGTTGCTTGCAGGTACTGCCACCAGGACTGTGCCTGCCTATGTGACCAACCCAACTCTGATGAAGACATGTTCTCGCCTGAACTTGCTTGGGTTTTACAGCAAATTGTCATTTCTTTTACCTTACCCACTATGATTGCTAATATTGTAATTAAAAGCATTACTACCAAACTTCTTTCCAAGGTCAGTTTTCTTCAGCAGGGGAGACCATTTCTTCTTCTCTCCAGCAACCCCCACAAATGCACCTTGGAAAGGGCTGGGAAGGAATCTTTAATACAGTGTCTGTCAACCTGTAGCTTGTACCAGAAACACCTGGAGGTTTCCTTAAAACACAGATTGGTGGGCTCCACCTTCAAAGTTTCAGATTCAGTAAATCTGGGCAGGGCCCAAGGTTTTGCATTTCTAACAGTGCCCTGTTGATGCTGAAGCTGCTGGTTTCAGGGCCATGCTTTGAGACCCACTGATTTAATCCACCTCCATAATTAAGTAGTGGGCTATACTAGAGTTTCTCAAACCTGTCTGAGTATTAGAATCACCTGGTGGAGCGTTTAAAAATCCTGATGCCCAGGTCTTACTCCCAAACCAATTAAACAAAAATTCTAGGGCAGAACCCAGGCAGAAGTGTTACTTTAGCTCTGTAGATGATTACAATTTGCAGCCAACACTGAGAACCACGACCTGAGGATCTGTGGCCTACCCTAGACTTAATACCTTTGAATCTCTGCATTTTCATCATCTCCTTAAGTAATTCATAAGGAGTTCTGGTGGTGTGGTGGGTAAGGCATTTGGCTGCTAAGCAGAAGGTCAGCAATTCAAATCCACCAGCCGCTCTGTGAGAGAAGGATGAGCCAATCTCCTTCAGTAAATATTTACAGCCTTGGAAACCCAATGGGGGTTGCTAGGAGTCAGAATCGACTCGATGACAATGTGTTTGGTTTTTGGTTTTTAAGTAATTCACAATCACACCAAAATGTAAGAGCCACAGAATTGCATAGAGGGGAGTTCTCTTGCATATATGAGTGAGAGTTTCATGCTTCTATAGTGTGTAATGAAACTTTCGTTTTTGTTTTCCTAATACATTTTTAAAAATCACATGTAAATATACTCCTCCTCCACACAATACCTTCCTTTCCCCAACACATTTCTTTTTTAATTGTCAGTTCCTCACTGGATGAACAACAAATACAAAATCAGTTGCAAAACCAGTCTTAATTAAAAGGAGTTGGGATGGAAAAAAGGATACACAAACTGTTCTGAAGCAATCATTGTACTGTAATCAAATGGTGCACAACCACAGCAATTTTACTAAATAAAGGTCAAACAGAATGCTTTTAGTTCTTGGACGATTAGTGTTTAATGCACCTGTCCTCATAAACCATCTCTGCTCTCTTATTAAAAGAAAATTAGTTGTTCCAAATTACATTTGCTGCCTCCTCCTAAAACTCTCATTTCAGCTGGCCACATTTTCTCCAAACTTATTCTCTTTGCTTGTTTTTTTCTGCTCTGTAACTAAGCCCAGTTCTAAACAAACAACCTTTTTTCTTCTTCTTACTCTCCTTAGGTCTCTATGCACATCATAAGGTGCCATTTTCTTATTTTTCTTTCTTCACACACATTCTGCTCCATATAATCTTCTTCCTTATAAGTACATACACTTAAAAAAAAAACAACCCAAGTCCTTCTCCTCTCTGATCAATCCTTGCCTAATTACCTCAGAAAATTCATGGCCCTCTTTCCACTCCACTTACGAATCAAAAAAAAAAAAAAATGACCTTCATCATAGTTGTTAAACTTGAGTAGTGCTAGTGATACTGTGCATCCAGGGAGAAGAAAGCTCTGTAATTTGAAGGAAAATCATAAGCAATAAGGAGCTAGTGTTAATATTCTCTACAGTACTTCAAAGAGCACACATGTCCTTTTCAGAATTTCTACTGAAGTCTGGTTGGGTTGATGTTGGGGGTGCTAGGAGTGGACCCAAGGACTCTTGATTGGTAGCATAACAGTTGACTCCTGCCCTGGTTGATTAGTGTTGATCGGCTTGCAGTTCCTCATCAGCAATCTAAGTATCAATGTAAGACTGCCTTTCACTCAATACAATATCATAAATTTTTTATTGTTGTAAAAATATAGATAACACTACATTTGCCAATTAAACATTTTTCACATGTACTATTCAGTGAGCTCAATCATGTGCAGCCATCACCAATATCCATTGCCAAATTTTCCATCATCTTAAACAGAAACTCACTGCTTCCCAAGCAATGATTTTCCCCTTTCCCCTTCCCATTTCTGGAAACCAGTGATCAACTTTTTGGTCTCTATCCATTTGCCTAGGTTAGCTGTGTCACATTAGTGAGATTATATAATACTTGCCCTATTGCTATTGAATTACTTCACTCAGTATGATGTTTTCAAGGTCCATCCATGTTGTGGCATGCATGTATCAGGACTTCATTCCTCTTTTTTTAAATTGAGATTTGGATGAAACTTTACAAAGCAAATTCATCTTCCATAGAGTAGTTTGTACACATTTTGTTTCATGATATTGACTGCAGTCCCCACAATGTAATAGTTCTCTTCCCACTTCCTCTGTGGTTACCTTTTCCTTGTGTCTGTCTTTCTTATGCATTCCTGCTCTCTGAGCTACCTCTCTGTGAAAATACTGCCCTTCAGATCTCCCATGGTTGATTGTTCTAAAGAGTGTACCTATCTGTTGTAAATATTCACCTTATATGCCTGTCTGTTGTTTGGCTGGAAGCCACAGAAGTGAGTTCAATTCCAGGCCTGAAGGATGACTAGGGGCCATAGTCTCAGGGGTTTCACCAGTTTCTATCAGGACCAGAAAGTCTGGTCTTTTTTAAGGACTTCATTTCTCTTTATATCATAACTATTTTTAGATGTCTTTAAATATGTTTCATAAATGTCATTTTAAGGACTGCATAATAGTTTGTCATATACACCATAATTGCTAAGCCATTCCTC